AATAAGCCTCGACTCTTGAAAACATATTACGAATATTCTATCGCTAACTACGTGTATGAGAGGCGTTATTCGGAACGTCTTGTTCATATTATGCAAACAACCCGAATTCGTGACCATTCCTTTTTTCGGATTCATCCTGCAATATTAACCTAACCTAATTGCTACCGGCATCAGTTAGAAACCTTAATTGTTTAGACAGTGATCAAGATTTGGTTCCGTCACTCATAACAACATCATACATGGCATGCTTGTTTTTCATACTTGTTGAGGCCTAGAAGGACGACACAACTCTATGATACAAGGTTATTTAGTTTAGGTATATTGTATCTATTACTAACTGTTAAAGGTGCTGTCACATGTGTGTTTGCTACGTTTAAGGCGATTGACTTTTTGATTTTTTAGTCCCGAGTTCGAGGTTTGCCGTAACCTTGATGGCCACAGAAAGACACCCCTCCTTCAGTTACAACAGTAGGCCAGACCTATTTGGACTTATAACGTTTAAGCCCCTGATATCACCAATGAGTCATAGAAACAAGTTTCAGATGTATGATGCAGTGTATTTCATTTTTTAGCATACTGTATTTATTAAAAAAATTAAAAGATGAAATCACCTGTGCGTTTGTTAAGTTCATTTTGTTTGTGGAGTATCGTTTTTTTGACAGTGAGCATGGATTTGGTTTGGTTTGGTTTTAATTGTTTGATACCCTATTAATAGCTAAGGTCATGTTAGGACGTGACAATGAGCATGGGAGACGCGGACATGTTTTTGTTCCGGACTTTACCATGCTTTTATCATCCACGGTTTCTCCTAGAACATCAGCGGTATACTCTATTATTTATTTTTATCCCCAGAATACTCGGCATATTAGGAGCTCCTTTTGTCACGTGATCTCGAGGGCCCGTGGCACATTTTTATTTTTTTATTTTTACATATTTCAGAAATAATTTAGATGTTATTTCCTTGCTTAACTACGATATTTTGGAACTTCTCGTCTTCGCTTACAATCTAACACGCTCTTTAAACTAACTTCTACCGTTCGTTATTGTTGTAATATTTACTAACATCAGTGTATCAAGAAAGAACGCATGTGGGAAAGCATTTTTTCACAGATAAGCATCTTTTATACTAACAATCGTCGATATCCGTGATGGAAATGTACTTTTATGTTACCATTCCTGAGTTTCAGGATTTTGCGATCAGTCAATGCACAGAAAAATTGGGGTTGAAGTTGTTAAAAAGCAAACATATTTTTGTATTCGCTTCTGAGATTTCCTGGTTTTTTTTATGTAAGTACAATGTAACAACTTCGAGTAGGCTGGTTAATAACATTTGTGAAGGAAAACCAATGTTGTTTAGTTTGAAATTACAAAAAATAAATAGAAGATATGTAACAGTGTCTTCTGTAATACCAAATATATTTCAGGAGCGTTGTTCATGTTTTGATATCTGTTACCTGTGCACACCTTTGAAAGCGATCCAAATAGTAGCCACACGCGTGAAAGATATTTGACAAAACTGAATACACTGTTCCTCGGAACTCCAAGTAATACATCAAGCTGACAATACTTGATCGGGATTCTTTTATCGCTAGCATGTGTAGACAAAACTCAGTTCTAAGTGGAAATCTTTTAATAAAATAGACATAGGAAAAAAATCCTAATTTAATTCCTTAATTAATTATTTAAATAGAGTAGGTACTAAAGTTTATATTGATAAGAGCGCAGCTCTCGGGCGCCGAAGGTTGTAGATATGACATTTTCCTTTGGTGAGGTTATACATTTCTTGTAGATGCGACATTTTTCGGGAGACGAGGCTCTAGTGGGATATTTTTCGAGAGACGAGGCTCTAGTGGGAATTTTTTTGGGAGGATAAGGCTCTGTATTTGAAAGAACATATGACGAGCTGATCTTGAGATGTTGAAATATTTAGATGTAAAACCATTAGTTTGGATACATGTTTTTGAATTTTTTAAAAGCATCTCAATCCAAGTACAAAATGTATTACCACGTTGCCTTTAATTATTTTCGTCCGGTAGTAGACGCCCAGTAGGGAAACCGGAAGTGTATTCTTGAAGCAAAGACATTTGTGTTTCAACCATACATGAACATCTGCATATAGTGAAAACAATCTTCATGTTTTATAACTTATTTATTGAGATAAAAACTAATTTACATTCTGAGTAAAAAAAGTCTATCACATAAAATGTGATACTAACAGGCCTGCAACTTCGTTCAGAAATTATCATCCTTTGACGTCACAAGCACGTCACACTCCATCGGCCATCATCGGTTATTTCCAGAAGGATGAAAAATATCCGGAAAATCTTTGATGTCCGGTGCATTTATCTCTTTGTCGGTGCTTCATGACTTTTTTATTTCATTTTTTTCCACAGGCACAAAAAGCAAAAATGGGGATATTTGTTTGAAGATCCTCTTATGTCTACAGGGAGATCTCTTCAAAAAGAGCGGCATTAAACCGATAGGTCAACGTTTATATATTTCTTTTTATCATTTAAAATTACCTTTTAATTTCAATTCGTTGAGAATATGAACGAAATTATTAACATTTGTGAAAGTCTGGTTATAGTCTTTACGAAATTTATTTATGCATTACCACTCATAAAAGAAACAATGGATAATACATTTATGTAAAATCAACAATAATTTTCCAGACAACCAACCCGAACTCAAAACCCTTTTTAAGCAACGTAATACTTTTTCACAACACATGCCGATGTATAACTAATTACAGACAGATACTGTTTAATTTCATTTGGCATCATTACATGTTAAATCTCGGTGACAGTTACAGAATTTGAAATTCAATCCGGTGTTTCATGGTGGAACAGGAAATGAGACTACATATCGATATAACGACAATCTCAGTTACATCAAAGTATTACAATGCTTTTTTATTTTTTTTAATAAACATCTCTATACATTTACTTATGGTAATCGTCAAATATTTAATAAGCACTTTTTCTATAGCAATGACCAATCAGTTTATTTTCCACACTGATATCAAACATTCTTTTTGTGCCCTTACGCACAAGAACAAAATATCTACTTTAGCTTTGACTGGAAGGAAATGGCTTCATTGATGCAAAAAAATAATTTTGAATACATTTTTATCAATCATCAATGATACACAAAACCTACATACGGGTGACCGGGGCAAGTTCTGCCACCCCTGTATTTTTGTTTTTGAGCTAATATTTACAACTTTAAAGATCTTAGCAGTTTAGTTGACGAGGAAAACTCTAATGTAAAATTACTAAACAGGAAAAAAATACTTTTGAGAGGGTAGCAAGAAAATCATGATCTCGCGTCTATAGTTATGAGAACTTTCTGTAAACGTAATTGCTATTTTTTTACGGTCAAACATGTAACACACTGACAGCTTCAAATGGTAAAAATAAAAGCAAAGCAAAGCACTCATTGCCATATTGCTGTACGATAAGAACTTATTGAAATATCGATTTGGGCCCGGACAGGTTCGGGCAATGATACCGCTGCAACCTCTGCCCATCTAACACCTTCAAAGTCGTAAAATTTGCGGTAAAATCTTGGCGTTGCACGCTTTATGACGTCATAATAAAGCTGATTCCAATGAAGGCCGACTTACCCATATGACTGTCCGAACTAACCCATGGCGAGGCTCGTTCGGCAATCCGATTTTTCGACAGGAAAAGTTAAATAATATTAAAAATCGGACGTGCTGCCATACTTCCCAGAACGAACTCAAATAAAAATGGGCCGAACTTGTCCCGACCTACCCTATTGTTATGTCGTTCTTCATCTCATTAGAGCTTGTGTTTTATTGTTATTCCTTGACTTGCCAATTTGAAATAAAGTTTATCTTATCTGAAAATCTCATTCTGAAAGCAGTATGCTGAATCAGTAAATATCAGAGACCAACAAAAGCTACGCTCTTTTAAGGCTTGGCATTTTCATATTAACATAGTATACCAAATTGCTATCTCAATTTAATCATTTGATAAAAGTCACGTCTTATCAACTTAGATCATGCATGGTGTTGTTACTTTGAAGCCTCTAAACTGAAATGGCTTGGAGTGGGACAAAATGCGGTTGTTGTGTCACCACTTATCTTGACGATAACATATCGACACCATCTATGCAAGTTATACTTAATCACTGTCAGAAATAACCCTGGCTCTTTTATTCTTTCTGCCAATCGCTTGGTCTCACTTGGAGGCGCTTACACGTGTTTAATTTGATTTGAGGTTTCCCCGACCAGTCAACTGGCTTCCATGGAAATGAGAGTTTACTGTAGATATAAACATTGTGTCTCTCCCAGAAAATAGACTCCCCATAATTGGTAGCAGATGGATGTTATGAGCAGTATACTCATCTGATATCCCAGACGTTCTTTCACACAGATGTTGCATAGTTATGGTAGTTTGTTAACAGTGTTTTGACTGGTAAAATAAGCAGATGCATTTTATTCATTTTTCCCAGGGATAAAATGTCCCTTTTATAAAATATCTTGTTATCAGTATTTCACTTGAAAAAGTGTAATAAAAATGTAAACTCATTTTCACTTCACTTGAACCCTAATGTTTGCTTCTGTACAGTACTAAACTAAAATCCCTATATACAGTAAATGTCACACACTTTTATTGGGTCATTTTATATATGTCATTATAGTAGTCCACGAACTGGTACATATTCGTATATCACTCCTGTGTATGTCGACTTATTAAATTTCTCACTCCATCGGGTTGAGATGGGGGAATCTCAACCCGAGAGGGAATATTTGCCAAATGTGTTTTGCAACTTATGATTTTTTCTCAGAGGGTTACAATTTCACTATCTCACCCAAAGGGGGTAAATGATTCCAATTTCTCTTTTCCTGTTTACCCATTGTGTATCATATCCATAAAGTGCTGTTAATGTTACAGGCAAAATGCAGGGTTGGCTTGACGTTGATGCAGGGTTGACGTGACGTGAGGTTTTGTTTTCCTTTTTTCTTTCATACTTTTTCTTTTCAATTAACTTACATGAGTATAACAGAGAGTCAATCACGAAGGAACCTTTATTTCTGATTTAGATAAAGACCAAACAAGCTGTTATTGTTACTGTTATTGTCATCGACTACCAAACAATGACTTGATTATGATGTTACATCTTGTTCCTTTATAACGGTTATTTCGTCTTTTTGTCCTTTCTGAGGATTGTCTTCTCCAGTGCCATCAATGGGGACTCGACCGCAAGGCAAAGGACAACTGCTGCCATGTAGGACATTAACAAGTTTCCAAGAAAGACGTAAATCTGGTGAAAAATAAACGCTTCTTATAAAATCAGTCAAATAATCATTGCCTGGTAACAACAGATAACACAATTATAAAGACACAATACCGTTATATAGGAATTACATGTGAATGGCGAATTGAACGCTAGGAGAAAATGTATTTTATTGGTAATGGGCGAATCTTTGACAGGGCGAAAGTTTCCCGGTATCCAAGATACAGAATAAGGAATAGCACGGTATTATAAATACATTGTATACGTCAAACGATAATAATTCAAAAAAAGGTAAAAGCATTTTACGTACATACAGTTAGCACCCGTAGGAAGCATCGTAAAAATATATCACCGTGTTCCCTTTTCAGTCTATCATCTATTCATCAAATAATCGTCTTGATCTTACAAGATTAAGCACTTACTACTTCGGTGTCGGTCCCATATACCCCTTGTCTCCGAGACATATAATAGGCATCGATGGCCAGCGGATGAACGAGATAGACACAGTACAACAGACGTCCAAGTGGGACAAACGGACTCCAGGACAGCGAAGTGTTCACATAACCTGAAATTTCGATTATTCTTCAGATTTTTCTTCTCCGTATGTAAAATAGTTAATATTTATTTCTTTTGCTCCTTTACTAGATTAGCAATTACAACATTTTATTTCTTACTCTGCTTAATCGACGCAACACCTAAACTTCTCACTGCCATTTCTAGAATCATAAACAAGGGCTACAGTTAAAGAAAACTTACTACAAGACAAAAGCAAAAACGAAAAGAGAGGATAAAAATGTGTCTACAAAATGTTATTTAAACCCGAAATCGAAGAAACTGGGGTTATGTACGGTAAGCGCCTTCCGCTTCATATGTGAATGTCACATCGTGAAAATAAGAACCGGAGTAATGACAACGAAAAATCTTAAAACAATACAAGAAAATAGGATATTTCCCAATGAGATTATGGTAGCGACCATGAAAATTGTCCATAAGCGTCATCAGCCTGCATACTTTGAAACCCCGTGTCGTTATTTTCAACCACCTGCATGCGTAGTCATTACGAAATAAGGTAAACATCATTCATATTTCAAATTTGGGAATTTTGCAATGAGTTTTTACCTCCGTTTCCTGTAACGCATGCAAACACAACCCAGGAGACGCAGACTCCCCACAAGGTTCGATGGACAGCGTTGTAAAGGGCAGCAATTTCAACACTCATGGCGTTCCCGATCGATTCCTCATAAATACCAAACGTCACTATACAGGCCAGGGATGCCATACATACCCAGATGAAAAGGTTCAATGGCTAAAATAGAAATAGAGTAATATTTCCTCTTCCGTGGGCTGATTATACGCATGAACATATATATTAATTTGTTTTCCTTTTTTCCTATAAATCATTCTTTTAGCTCTGATGGAAGCTCGAAGGAGAAAGATACCAGAAACACTAAGCAGCTTCCAAGCGCTTACACCTGTTCAGAGGATTATCAGGGTACGCATTTTCTTTAAAGAACCTCTAAAGAGGTGGAAGCGCTATTGGGCATTTCTCATAATTTCTTTTATTTTTATTTTCAACGAATACACCATCAATAGGACTGCTATTGTATTTACATATATACTAACTTTGAATGAATGAGCACTGTAAGCTGGCACAATACAAATTCCACTCAACACATTTAAAATTGTATTACTTGCTCTGGGGTAAATGTTATGGTTTTTTTCACAACTGATCATTTTGCTTTCTTTAGCTTCTAACATATTTTAGTTAATATATTACCAAATATTAATCTTTACATATATCTAGTCACGTATCTAATATTGATTATATTTTCTCCTTTATCAATTCCACTATCTGTCCTTAATTTTTCACAGCAGTTGTTTATGATGTTACCGTTGTTTATCTATATATACCTCCTGCATTCGTTTTGACAACATAATCAATATGACGTGACTATATACTGCTGATGCTGACACAAAGGTACGGATGTGTATGTTTACTCACTTAGAATTGTGTAATATATATAAACAGATCGTAAAGATTAGATGACACACATCTTTGCTAAATCCTCATTGGTTGGATTATTATCACGTGGAGGTCGGTGATTTGTGATATTGACTCGGTGTTACTATTTTAAGAAACAGCAGGTCAATATTAACTTTATGGCGTCATGTCAATTGTAACGTCACAATAATCTCTGACATTCATGATTTGATTTAATTTAATGATAGATTTCTGATACAGGATTTCGTATCCTATACACCAGACTCAAATTGTTATAAATAAAAGAGATTTGTGATAGCACATACAAGTACTATATTTTCTGGCAAGTTATTCAAAACATTTGCAGTTCTTGATAAAAACAACTTTTCCTCTTCATTGTTTTACACTGCTGGAGTATAATTTCAAAGAATTTCCTCGGTTTGATTGACGACAAATGCAGCTCTCTCTGCCGTACAATTTGCATACGCTCTCCCTAATGCAAGTATGAAAACTCGGTAAATATCACTTTCAAATGTTTACCTGAACAAAAGTCAGTCATTGTTAAAAAAAAACATATAATTGTATTTATTTCCGATTTGAGGTGTTGCAATATTGGCAATCGATCTAACATAGATTGCAGTAGCGTAAAAGTAAATATAAAAATGATATGTTTTATGATAATAAAACGGGCTTTGTTGCTTAAACATCAAATATAGGCTAATTAATAAGGCGTTTTTCAGTCACTTGCGTAGACTTTGGTATTTACACTACAAGTACTTTGTACAAATACAGTTGTTTATCAGGGGACATAACTCAGATTCTGTGTTCTCAGCTGCATTGATAATTATATCTATTGAGTAAATTGTGCGCCTGAAGATGATACATCTGGTTTACTAGTGATAATATAAAGTTAACTGTGACGTAATGATATTAAAGAGACATTTCATTTGTGGACCTAATCCGATATTCTATTTACCATGCTATTAGGACTTGTTGTTTGTTAACTGTGATGTAATGATATTAAAGAGACATTTAATTGTTGGACCTAATCCGATATTCCATTTACCATGCTATTAGGACTTGTTATTTGTCGACTGTGACGTAATGATATTAAAGAGACATTTAATTGTTGGACCTAATCCGATATTCTATTTACCATGCTATTAGGACTTGTTGTTTGTTAACTGACGTTATGATATTAAAGAGACATTTCATTGTTGGACCTAATCCGATATTCTATTTACCATGCTATTAGGACTTGTTATTTGTCAACTGTGACGTAATGATATTAAAGAGACATTTCATTTTTGGACCTAATCCGATATTATATTTACCATGCTATTAGGACTTGTTGTTTGTTAACTGTGATGTAATGATATTAAAGAGACATTTCATTTGTGGACCTAATCCGATATTCTATTTACCATGCTATTAGGACTTGTTGTTTGTTAACTGTCCTGTATTTTCGGGAATAAATATATACATACATATAGGTCAGGGGTCAATGAAGTAATATAGACGGTAAAATCTCAACACTGGATCCTAATGGAGGTATGTCCGTAACATACGAATTACTTAAAATAGTATATGGGGCAAAGAAGTAATTCCAACAGTGTGGACAAGTTTAGGTTGTCAAATTTTCGGAGCGATCCGCTCCTTTATCAAGACACAGTGAGACAGAACAGTTACATGTGCATATACATCATATTACAAGAAGATAGAACTGATATACTATAATTGAAAATATAGCTATTATATAAAACCAATAGTCCCCTCGGCTAAAAACAGCCGAAGGCAGCAATTAAGCTGAGAGCATCGCGGACAAGGAACGCTAATGTAGAGGACCTATTCTTGCGCAAGACGCACTATCACATAAAGTGAGTCAACGAGAGATAAGCATCAGAAAGAAGGGACGAGATATCAAAAACGTGGAACATGTGCATATGGGAATCTGGCCCGGTAAATGAGAAAAATCTCAATTTCCTACGGAATGCCCTCATTATAATTGATTTATTACACCCAGAACACCGTTTTGGGTAACTTATATTTAAAACATATTTTAATAAAAGTCAAGCAAGATCTGGCTTTCTTTTTCAGAAATGGTTTATCACAGCTATAATCATGCAGGAAAAAAGTTGCCAATACTTAGTTACAGCTTTTGGCAATCATACGAGATATTGAAGACACCTACCGAACAATATAGGATATTTTACAGTAAATCATTGCATAGGCTTTACTTGCATCAAATAATCATCTCATGGTACATAGAGATACACTCACCTTTTTTATTTTGTATTTGCCTCTAGTTCTGTAGAGGATAAAGCCCGTTACGATGCCGACGATGTAGGGCCCCATGCGACAGTAGGGTTTTGTGTAGTAATCATCCATATATTCTTCCAATCTGAAATAACTAAATAAGCGAATGATATTCTCACCTTCTCGGTGTCTTTGTTGGTAATCTATTTGTTTCCATCAACTTTCATAGACTATAGCTGATTTGATGTGAATGGTTTTCTTTTTCTTTTTTTTATTTCCTTTCAATGTTTTTTTTTATTTGTGATAATATGAACAGCAAACGCCTACCGATGAAATGGATTATCGCGGAAATAGTGTCTAGGTATTTAACAATACAAAATGGTTCAGCTTCTTTCGACAGGTAATGTTACATGTAGAAGGACGTACCTGCTTTTCGAAATTGAGAAAGCCACAGCTGGAAGCTGATAATATACGGAAATACCAGCAGAAGCTGCTGTTACTCCGAGCAAACATATCGCGCATATGGCTCCTCCAATTTTTTTCCAGCTGAAAAATAACAATATAACCATGAAATAAACAAATACATGATACTGTGTAAGGCATTTTGGCGCATATATCAATATTCGTTCAATGATAAAAACTAAAGGACTTATTATCGTTCTGTTTGGTAATGTTGCTCATGCCTTGTCTGAATTAGTGTTTACTATAAAGAAAATCAAGTAATTGATTGTGTGTACAAACATGTTATCAAATCAAGGTATTGTTGATATGTTTAATCATTCTATTGATTATATGTACAATAATGTGTTAGATTGAATGTCCAATCATGTGTTTGATTGTATTTACAATCATGTGTTTGATTGTATGTACAATCATGTGTTTGATTGTATGTACAATCATGTGTTTGGTTGTATGTACAATCATGTGTTTGGTTATATGTACAATCATGTGTGTGATTGTATGTACAATCATGTTATTATAAGTATGTTAAATCATGTTAGTATTTTTTCATATTATTCCCGACAAGTGATTGGCCATAAGTGAATCACGTGTCCACCGATAAAAACCGATATTGACTAATTGCGCGTGAGTTTTGATGAAGGACTGGGTGTTTCTAAAAATAGAATTATGGCGTGTCTCCAAACGAACGCATCGTCCCGCTTCCGTAGTTTTTTGTTGTGTGTTTTTTTCAGATTGCTAACATTACTGTTTTGAAAATAATAAAACAATTGTAGCCTTTGACTTCGGTCGACACTTGGATTTATCGACCTCTGCGAAAGGCTATAATTGAATATTATTAAATATATGTTAAATCAGGTCATTATGAGTATGTTTAAACATAAATAGTTTAATAAATAGTGTATGTAAAATGTTATTATTTTTTGTATGAACACACATGTTATTATAAATATGTTAAATAACGTTGTTAATTTATGTAAAACCCTAATAACGACTGTATAGATATTCATATTATTGATTACATGTACAATTGTGTTCTAATTGTATGAAGAGTTATGTTTATAAACTTTGTATAGAAACCTAAATGACATCGTAATGAACCATGACATAATTACATAAACATGTAAGGCGGTATCATAGTGGATATTTGTAAGGAATGTGACTGGATTTGACCCCATTCAGCAATAATCTATATAGAGGTTCTCCACGGAATGATGGTTGGTTATCATGTTTATCTCACTCTCATTAGTTAATGACACGAGGTGTTCGATCGGGAAAACAATTGTCATGAACGATGACATTACAATGGAAAATTACGTTGCAATGTATGGTAACTTAACATAATAATAAGAAGTTTCTAAATATTTTCTTCAGGTTGGTAAGTATAGATTATGAAAAGTTCTTTTTACACAACCAATACAATTTTCTATGTGACGTTTCGATGACTAGTACGATATTTACACTGTCACCTTCATCAGACAAATGACCACTGAAGCGTATGCACACAAAAGTGTAAAATGTGTACGAGGTGGATTTGTTATATTATGAATATATAAAAGAAAATACAAAATAAAAACCTTTTTTGCCAGATGACTTGATTTGCATCAAGGTATGACTATGGTTTATAACCCTTTTGTGTGCGTAAAGCCATATCAGACAAATTCAAATGTGAAATTATATTTAAAAGGTGGCAAGTTCGATCAACACTTACAAGTAAAGTGGGACCAGTAGAAGAGGACTAACGACGTAGAACTGCATATCATTTGCCAGATACCAGGTCCAGTCAAGGCACTGTTGATACATAAAATATTATAATGTCATGTAATGTTATGCCCAATTTTCATTTACCGTGACCGGGTTAACACTAGTACTCGTTCGTGACGATGATATGTCAACTCTCGATATTAATACTTCACATGGAAAGGTGTAATCACACGTACTTCATAAATAAAGATTATGATACAAAGATATAAACTGACTCACGGGAAGACACTAACACGAGACCAGACGTCTTCAAGAAGGTCATATGGGAAGCGCATGGAATGCAGGCTGATGTGTTTTGTGTATCGACTTCACATGTACATATCACGTTCTTACACCTGCTCACAAGCTCGATATCGTTACGATGTTTGCTGCCAAGCAAGATACGCTCTGTCGGGTAAATCATTTTTTGCTCAATTTTTTGTAAAATATCAAAATCCTTATGAAAATGCATATGTGAGTGCATGTGAGAACGGCATAGCGTGCGAAAGCCTCTGGTTACATAATGCACCTAACTGCAAGATATACCATGCGCTAGCGGTCTGTGGAATAATGTCCCAAGAGAACATGGATGAGAGTAATTGGGTTCCATAAAAGAACAATATATTTACAATTTCGATATCATAAAGGGCCTGTTTCCAGTAATGTTAATTCTCCACAGGAGCCTGCCCCCGTATTATTTCTTATCTAGCTCAACTACTGTTTTTTTCTTTTCCGAAGAATAAGTTTACACCTTTCCGACACCCAGATTATCATAATTTCAGTGAAAATGTATTTTTATAAAGTTGTCAATTTCAGCATCAAAGACATAAGTTCGTAAATAAAAGAAGGTTATCTCGAAATTGTAATTCGCAACATAGTATAAATTTCTTTTGATAAATATTTCCAAAACATCGTGTTTATTCATAAAACATAAAAAAAAAAATTCTCGGATGAAAATGCACTTGCAGAGACACAATTATGAAGAAAAATGCCATAAAATTGCAATTTTCTCCCGTTATATAGTTTTGGATGCAAATTTCCATCAGAAAATCGGATAGAGCTTTACTTGTTTCATATGTGTACCAAAAATCAGCTAATTCCATGTGGTGGAACGTTCTCATATCGCCGCCTGAATGTGGTTGTAAATTGAAAGAAAAGGGGAAATGAGTAACAACCTTGTCTGAAACCCTATTATATAGCTTATTATATACAAACTTTTATATTGAATATCAGAGCGGATATTTTCATGACAGTTTTATGATGTGTAACGACTAAATAAACAGTATCGATATAAAGATTTACACTGAGGACACCCTGATACATGAATACTGTTCTATCTCAAGTTGTCCTCTTCTGAATTTTCTGATCGTGTGGCCTTGTACATTTATCCGTATCTTCTTGTCTTTGTCTATACGTTTACGGAATCATTGACTCGACGCTAGCTATTCTTGTCTCACTTTCCTTGTTTTATTGTCCCATCTCCAAAGCGTTGTGGCTCTGTCAGGGTTGGGACCCTGACTTGTCTCACTTTCTTTGTGCCTGCCGACCACGCCACATCGAATAGATAGATTATCCATATGAAATACTTTATTTTGTTCTAAGTAATCAATCAATTCTGCGCTTCTTGGAGGTATTGAATGTGATTTATTATATTGTCTTGTTATTTTGTGTAATTAGTTGTTCGTTATTTATCACACATTTTCGCATAATTGTACCAAACTACTAAGTATTAGCTGTTTACAGCAATCATCGGTGGCTTGCTATTTTGTTACTTTATCGACGCTTCATAAACCAATCGTTATTGTTTCAAGATGGAGGGTAAATGTGTTGGAGAAGGGTGTCAAGTATACTTCAAGAAACGTAGTGGCAATAAGAACAGAAGTGCACGCAATGTAAATAGTCCACAATATAAATGGCTCCTAGATACGCTGGTGCAACAAGGATTGATGTCAGCAAAGGAACAAGCACTTATTTGCCAGAAGTGCTACATGAAGTATCTTCGGAACAAAAATCAGCCTGAACCTGAACCCGAGCAGAACCAGGAAATAGAGGAAGAAGACGACTCCCCGTCCCATATCCTGCCGTTGCTGACCCTTCATGATCTTTTGAATGGATCATCTTCACACAAAAAATGCTGTCTCTGTCTTGTTACCTTTGCAAGAAATGGAACAAAATCATCAGTCTTACCAAAACGTGCAAGACATCACCTGATCTATTCACACAAACTGTGGTGTCCCACCTCATCCCGCGTCTGCTCCATTCACCTTATTGGTAACGACTTAGATCCGTCTACAGAGGTTGTCCTTGATGGTAGAGGTTCCTTGGAATCTCAGTTACCATCAAAATCGTCCGAAATCATTAATGACCTCCTAGAGGTGTCGCACGTCCTTTCACAGAACCAGTCTGCGTTTACAATAAGCTTTTCTTCTCTTGATGACTCGGCATGCATGGCCTGGACAGGTTGGTCCAAAGATCAGTTCCTCGAAATCCACTCGCACTGTTCCCCATATCTTTCATCTGGTATATATACCAAGACTACACACGATGCTCTATTACTGTTCTGGGTAAAACTGAAAACCGACATTTCCTGGAGTCAGTGTTCTTCTCTTTTTGGAATTTCCAAGTCAAGTGTGTCCAAAACTTTCCACTCCATAGTACAGGCATTAGACACATCGATAGTCCCACAATTTCTAGGTCCGGATCACTTGACAAGAGAACAGTTGCTCGGGCACAATACTGTCTTTTCAGAAGCATTTTTTGGAGATAAAGCCACTGCCATATTAGATGGCACCTATATTTATATCCAGAAAAGCTCCGACCACAAGCTCCAGAGAATGTCCTACTGTGGCCAGAAGAAGAGAAACTATCTCAAATTCATGAGCATCGCCTTACCAGATGGCTACATTCTGGACACAGTAGGACCATTCACTGGCAGCGAAAATGATGCTACAATTACAAAAAAAGTCATGGACAAGCTAGTTACTTGGCTACAACCAGACGACAACGTTGTCGTTGACCGAGGTTTTAGAGATGTCCTACCAGTTCTCGAAGCCTCTGGCCTCAATGCTAGCATGCCGTCATACCTGAAACCCGGTCAAAGTCAACATTCTGACGTCCAAGCAAATCTTGACAGAACTATCACCAAATCGAGGTGGATTGTGGAATCCTATCATGGTCGTCTGAAACACTGGACGTTCTTCCGAACGCAATTGGTGTCTAACAGCTTTATCAATGTCATCGAGGCTTTGCTTCGAACCGTCACAGCCTGTCTGAATGGTATTAGAGGACCGATCTACCAGAGATCTCCAGAGAGAGATGCCAAAGATAGGCTAATGGCTGAACGTATGAAGGACCGTTTGACAACACCGAATGGTTTAGCTCAGAGAGTCAAGACAGATCCGGATCTATCTAGACGGGCAAGGTCCGAGTTTGTCAAGATGGATGCATCTTCCGTACTGTTTCCCCGTCTCGATCTTGATTACTTGAGAACCATTACGTGTGGAACGTATCAGATATCTCTGGCTCCTGGTTACATCGCCGAACATTTAAGTGATGACGGAGACTATGAGGTGTGGCTTTACCAGCACTCCCCAGACCTTCTCCGATGTCAAATACATTCTCGACACAAAAGCCAAACGAAATATAACGTTTGGATACGGTTCACCGTTTCACCCGATGTTGAGGCCCCAATAAAGGACTACTACTGCCAGTGCCCAGTTGGAGAGAGAACGATGGGAATGTGTGCGCACATCTCCAGTATCTTGTACTACCTTGGGTATTACAGGACGCTGGAAAACCCTCGACCATTACAACCACAGGTAAAGAAATTCCGACAAAACTTGAAATAGTTTTCCATGCGGCAACGGAGTGCATATGTCGAAAGTATGTTTGGGGCTCGATATGAAAGATCCCCGTTACCATGTGACTAACCAAACTTATAAATATAGGTATTATACAATCGCCCGTAGCTATGAACACTCCCGTAAATGCGAAAACCAACCAAAATCATAAGGAACACGTTTTGTTTGTTGTTCTGTCTATTTGTCAGCCAATGTCTTCAACCACGGGGACTTGTGAAGTAGCCATCTTGGATTTTTTTTATGAAAAAGTGTTTCTCTCACTTTTTTTCATATCTGTGTACATATTCTCAACATACCGAGCAAATACTCTCGTTTTTTTGTTAATTATCTAAAGAAAGTCGAAAATCGGCAATTCAACCATAGGCTAATTCAACCCAACATTTGAAAATGTTCCACCACTTACATTTTGATGATTTTTCCTCTCATCAATAGCATATTACGTACTGTTTAATAGGATAAAAATTGGTTTGCATCCAACGCCCATAAAAGGGTGTATTCTCTAAAAAACACAGTTTTTGTGTCTAAAATGTTATCATCGAAAATGGCATTTTTGAGATTGTTTCTTCCATAAAACAGCCAAATGGCGCGATGGAAACATGATTTTTTGTCACAATCATGCCATGAATGTATTCTTTACGGTGACCATCATTTGATTAGATTTTCATTAATATTTTACATAACATGCACATTTTATCAACACTTAGACAGCTTCTGAAAGGTACAACTTTGAGGAGCCATAAAAAACAAACCAAGTGACCTAAATCTTTATACTTTATAGATTTGTGAGCACAACGGCATGAGCAATGCATCACCAACAGGAAATTTGAATCAGAGAAGGGGCCGTTTTGGAAACCGGCCCTTTAATTTATTTCCAAGATTTTTTATATTTATAAAAAGAGATAACTGTCATTATGTAATTTTGATCCCTCTGCAAAAAGTTCCGATTTTTTTCTAGGAAGAAAACTCTCATCAGGATCAAAGTTATTGTAAAATGTAAAATAAATAAACTAAAGGCATTGTGAATATCATGTTGAAGTTTTCACTCTTTTTGTATGAAACTATGTGTCCTGTTCGCCTTTTTGCTTATAGATGAAAAAAACAAAAAATACACTTTGAGTAACGTGTTTTATATATTTTGTGGTAATACAATATTTGCTTAATTAGCATTGTTTCTTTCCATCTTTTAAT